TGATTGGTATTAATTAATTAAAAAAAAAAAACTGTACCAATATACCCATGAAGGGTCTTGGGTTCAGTACTTTGTAAGAAAGTATTGTTTCAAGGTCTATGGTTGTGTAGGGAAGTAAGGATCATGCTCAACTGCTAAGTTTCTCCCCTTGATTAATGAATAATTATGAGTACCGACTTTCTAGAGACTGGGTGTGCCATTAAAGGGAGGACCCCGGGATCGCTCCACAGGCGATGAAAAACAATAAATGACTTCCTGCCATCAGATGGATTTGAACCTGGAATCTTGAGGTCCGGATGTTAGTGCCTTGTACCCTGAATTATCACATTACCAAATTAAGCTAGTTTATTTTATAATATATTTAATACATATGAATTTTTTTCAGTTGTTAATGCTGTGAAGATTTGATTTCCTTATACAATAGATAGATAGATAGATAGAAAAATAATTTTATTCTGGGACACAGTCCCTTGAGAATAACAAAATAGAACAAAATTAAAAGATCACATCTGGCCAAAATAAAATCAATCGAAAAAAAGAAATAATGTAAAAAAAATATAAGGTAAACATTCTATATAAAAAAACGAAACTATATACAAAACAATTAATACTATGACAAGGCACTTAAAGCTATTTGCACTAGTATACACTTTTAAGAAAATAATAAAGAATTAAAAAATAAAAATGTATGAATGAATCAATCAATGAATTTGTATGTATCAAATTCTCTATTAAAATCAGCTCGAATGGTTAGCAACTATCTGACTGTTCTTGGGATAGGAATTGGAATAGGAGGGTTTTAATTAAGTTATTAAATATACAATTTAATTAAGTTATTAATATACAATTAAGTTTAGGAAAAACTGGGAGTGCAGATACTAAAATATAAGAGATCAGGTTAATAGGAATTGAAATTCAAATTGCAAAAGATAAACCCAATAGTGAAACACATATATTCGTTGCTATATAAAATGAAATAATTTAATAATATTGGCACAGATAAGGCAAATGTAACAGAATATCAACTACTACATAACATTGCCAAATATTTACATTATAATTACATAATAATCACAGATATAACATACTTAATAACATTATTAAATATTTGTTACCCTTTATGATTTCGGTAAGTGATAATTTTAAATGCGTATAAAAGATCTGAAGCCAGTCATCAACAATGCTAATATTCTAGTATAAAAATAATAAAATTGCTAATGAGTTACACATAAATATTTGAAATGCACTAATACAATATTTTATTTGTCTTAAAACTCTTTTTGTAATTAAATTCATACAAATATATCTTTTATTTTTTTTAAAAAAAGTTAATCAAGAAATATAGTTAAAAATAATACATAGATTGACCACAGTTAATTGACAGTCCAAAGGCTAACTCATGGGGTATTTAGTTGAAACTAACATTTTGTTTTTCCTTAAATCTCTGATATTATTTACAAAATATTTATAAATGAAGACAAATTTTACAAAATTACAGTATCATCGTGCAATATGTGTATATATTTGGTGAGTAATAGTAAACGTAAAGGGATAAAGCAAAATGATAGTTTCAATCAAGTGCAGCATAAGTTAGTAACTGCCAACTAAACATGATCACAATTCAGTCATTGGACAAGTTCCTAAACTGAGCGCTGAGACCATCCATGGCATCATTTTGCCCAGTTTAGAGATGGATTCAATGCTATCGATGAGTTTAGGAACCTATCAAGTTTCCTTTAAGATAACATTGCTAGCAAATCATGTAAATATAAAATGATTTTTTTTTCAAGTTATTAAAGTTGATATAATTCAAATAATAATTTTGAACAGAAAAATAGTTTTGTTGGAGTAAGAAAATTCAACTACCAGGCTTTCACATTGCTTATCCTGAAGAAAATTGTTGTAAGTCAAAAGGAATTAATTTTTCAATATATATTTTATAAAATATGATGCTCAGAAATATTTTTTAATAAAAAAACTTTTGAAGAAAATAGTTTTTGTTTACAATATTGTATTGTATAAGCACCTGAAGAACCAACATACATTTATCAGGACAAATTTCATAACATTTTGGATGAAAAAATTAATTTTAATTTTGGAGACTTGCAGCTCTTTTCTTTGGGATATGCTTAATGACATAATAAACAATGAATAGGCAATAATATAATTTAACTGTAACAGAAAAATGTGTTCAACAGTACATTCTAATAAACCCAGAAAATATCAGGTTAGTAACAAAAATATATTTAATAAAAAAAAAAAAAATTAAAATTGCAGGCAACTTTAGAAATTTAAAAAATGGAACTATTAAAATTTTGAAGAAACACAATACAGATTACGATTGATAAACGTTTCAAAAATAAGTTAGATTAGCATAATAAAATAATTTAAAAGTGTAGCAGGTACATATAAGGAACAGTTGTACAATTAGAGTTCAAATCAAGTTCAAGCTTGAACTACAATTGTACAACTGGTCCTAAAACACAGAAAGCAATCAGAAAAGTCAGTTTACAAACAGGTAGCAATGAAATTACTTAATATACATTAATATCAAAGACCAGATTTTTATGAATGATAAAATGTTACTTTAATATTTAAATATCTATCCGTATTACAGCATTTTGACATAATTAAATACATTTTTTTCTTTTATATATTATATTTGTAAAAAATTATCTTAATTCATGATTATTATTATGTAAAACATAGAGAAAAAAAATAACAAAATCAATTCTTTAACATATTAACTACTCTCTTAAATATAATATGAGACTTATTTTTGAGTGTATTACATGAATTTTTTATTTAAAATTAAAATTAATACATGATTTATTATTTATTTAATTTGAGTCTGTTGGTTTTATGTTTTGTTAAAAAGTTTAATTATTTATTAATGTTAAAATGATTAAATTAAATGTTTAGAATTAAATTAATAGTTATATGCATTTCATATGACAACAATTTTTAAGGCGAAGACAAGAGAAAGGTAATGCGTTTAGGCTGACTGGTTGTAAATATGTAACATTGTTTTGTGCGAACAGCTGTACAGATTTTTCTGTTTGCTAAATTACTGATGCCATTGAAGACAGGAATCCAATTGTTTTACGTGGAATTAAAATTACAGTCAACTAAGTGAAAAGATGCTTAGAATTAGTTTATTTTTCCAGGTAATATGGGATTCTTTTGCGTTTCCATTTAGGATGAAGGAGTTTCGAATTATACAATAACTACATATTTCAAATTTTATTTTGTTTAGCATAAATATGAGGATCATATAAAATAAAATTATTCCAAAAATTAAAGTTTTCTTTTTGTTAGGGGTTGGGTTAGGCCAATGATTTATCACTACCATAATCTGTCCCTCTTTACTGCATGGCAGTGTTAGATTAACAATTACTTATTTTTTTGAATTGTGTAATTTGATGTTGCAGAAACATAGATTAGAAGAATAGAAAAAGATACCTTTCATATTTTTTATTTTATGTAACCGGTTTTGGCCTTTAGACCAATAGCAAGCTAACTCAATCCTCAGTCAACAAGCCACATGGGACGGCCATTGATTTATATATGTGAATATAAATGTCACACGTGTATGTATTTATATATTATATTTAAAGCCTAATAAAGGTCTAAAGAATAAAAATTATTGCTAAGAAAAAAAAATGAAAGAAGACTACATGCTACATTTTTTAACTCATTATTTATTAATAATTTTGAAAAACAATTATTTGTACTAAAATTATTACAATTAAATAAAGAATAAGCGCATATTAGTCATAATAGGATTTATTTTTACATAAAAATCCAATCTTTGATAAACATTTAGTAGAAAATCAAAAGTTCTAAAAATCATCATTATTTTAGTATCATATAAATTTAAATCAAACGTGATTGATTAAATCTCATTTTCTCAACCCACTTATATTCTATTCATTATTATTGTCACCGTACATTAAAACTAAGTAACAAATAAGGAATAAATAATCCAAAACATTATAACTTAATATTAAAGAACATAACAGAAGTAAACATAGAAAGTCTTTAACAAGAGACAAGGAAATAAAATGTTAAATGACTCCTCATATGACATTAAAACCAACTGAGAAATAAAGGTTAAAATTTTTGACAAATGAAAGCGTCAGAGTCCAGTTAGGATAGTACTTAATTACTGAACTTTATCTTTACAACAGTTAATAAAAAATATAATCTATTATTATAAATAAAAAATATATATAAATTGAATCATACATTATTTCTACTTATTTTTTCTTCTAAATTTATCTTTTTCAACTAAAAATCACTCACAATTAAGAATAAAAAATTTAAGAAAGAATAAATTGATTCAAATAATCGCAATACAAACAGGTAGGGATTTGAATATTTATAAATATAGTAAGCAAGATTTATTTTTAAGTAGTAGATTTGGATCACTTTCTTTTTAACATATATATCACACAATTCAATAAACACTTTGAATACTAACACAATAATTTTGATTCTTTATCATTAGTGGGCTTAGAATTTATGGCAGTCTTTCTTAAAGGCCATTCGCAAACTAAACAAAGAACTATTTTTAGAATTTAAATAGAATAATTGATTCCATTTTCCATGAATAAATACGTTTAATGAAAAAAAAAATTCTTTCTCTAATATAAGTGATACTAACAATGGGAGGTACAATTACTTGGGCTCTGTTTCAAATTTAATTCCTTCCCTTAAAAATAAAAGTAAAAACCTGTACCACTACAACCCATGAAGGGTTTTGGGTTAAGCACTTTGTAAGGAAGTACTGTTTCTTGGTCAAAGGTTGTGCAAGGAGGTGATTTGACCTAGCTCATGCTCAACCACCAAGTTTCCCCATTAATTATTAAATCAAGGATACCAACTTTATAGAGGCTAGGTGGGCTTCAGGAGGCTCCCCGATGCCAAGGTCTATCCATGGCTGATGATAGAGAATAAATATTTTATCTGCCATCAGCCAGGATTCGAACCTGGGCCTTGGCCATTAGAAGTCAGCACCCTATCACTGAGCTACCTCACTCTCTTTTCTTAAGCAAAAAAAAAAAAAAATTTAAAAACAAAATCATAAATGATCAATAATTTCTGATGAATGTAACTATGTTTACATATAGTGGAATATAGGATCAAACCTCAAATAAGTCATGTGGGAAAATAAAACTATTGCAACCTCTTTCTCTATAGATATTATTTGTTACTATTAAAACTTGATAGAAAATCAGGTTTTTCCTAAATTAAATGAAAATTTTCATGAAAAATAAAAAGTAATTAGATGACTAGAAGGGATAATAAAAATTAGTTCAGAAATTTACAAATAGTAATTTTATGTTGTAATTCACTCATCAAAGATATCTTCAACACCAATAATTTGAGAAAATGTATTGGGCATAAAATTATTGTCGACATGACTAGTAGAAAGTTCTGTTTCCCTACAATTAAAATCATCATAAGGATTTTTGTCTTGAGGTATGGCAATAGCTTCATCAAAAGATATGTCCACCTTCTGGAACATCAACCAGTTTTCAATAATCTGTTTATCATGAGCCTTTACAAATGTAAAGCAGCGAAGGTGTTTCAGTTTCTCTGTTGTCAGCATCCACATTCCAAGTGATGCTAAAGCAAGCCTCCACTGCCTGGCAAGTCTTGAATTAGCAGTTTCGTGTTTCGAATCAGGTGTCAATATAAGTAACAAACCCCCTTTTTTCAGAAGCTTCATAGCTTTTTTGCAAGCAGAGAATCTCTGACGAGGTGAAGGCAAATATTCTAGCAATAATGAGAAAAGTATCGCATCATATCCCTCCTTTGGCAATTGTTTACAGAAAGAGTTATCTTCAACCACCAGCTGGTCACCAATTTCTACTAAAAGAAAGTCACACCTAAGCACATTCTTGTCAGCAGGTTCCAAATCTATTGCAGTAGTGACAATATTTGGAAAATGAGACAGTGGATTGTAGCAGCTACCAACATCCAACAGTGATATTCTTTTACCAAAAACAACATTGTTGAAGTCACAGGTCATTGAATACCTCGATGCCATCTTCAGTTCTTTTGAGATAAATAGGCCCTTTCCTTCTCCAAAAAAGTACCAATTGCATTTATCAACTACCCATAAGATCCCTGACTGGTCGGAATGAATCTTAATATTTTTTTCCCAGTGTACAGTAGCAAGTTCTTTCATTGTGACAGCATACTTCTAAAAAACAAGATAGAAATTGTAAGAAATGATAATATATAATATAAAGTCTCAGATTCTTTAGTTTATTAATTTTTCACATGATTTAGAATAGGAGTTTCGAAGTTGTAAAGGTTATTAGCTAAAGCTATATTAGAAAATTTACACATTACAGAGTCATATTTGGAAAACATGTCTTTAGTAAAACTCTGCAAATAGAATAAATGTAATTATTAATTGTTGCATTATTTAATTATTGTATAAAGGAGAGTTTAAAAAGAATTATACTCAGAACTAGGGTGAAACAATATACTGTAATGCGGGAGTAAATTGCAGCCATAATGAAATGTAATAGAAAGCATTTGTCAAACAGCTTAGTAAATTAATCAGATTATAATCACATTCCTCATGATTTATATTTAAAAAATAAATAAAATAATTTGAGCCAATAAGTTCATTTACAAACCTCCAATTTCTGATGGTCCTTACAGTGTTCTTCCCAGGCTGCTTCAGCGCCAATTTCCCTAGATCGAAGTCGTAGGTTGATATGAACACTCTTGATGAAGTCTGCCAGTTCTTGATGATTTGCCATTTTTTTTTTCTATAAATGTCAGAGAAATAAATATGATAACAGTTGATTTTTTAAAAATTATTTTCAAACAACAAAAAAAAAAAAAAAAATCAGTTTGTCTGCATAACCATGAGAATCTGAACATTTAATAATGGAATCTTCAATTTCAATTCAATAAAAATCCTTAAAATTACCAATAATGAGATCTCCATTCTGATATTTTAGTATCACAATATCCAGGACTGAATAATTTTCTTGGTAGGAAATTTTCACCCATCATAAAGTACAACAACAAACCATAAGTACTCAAAGGATAAAAAGATACCAGATAGGAAGATCCAAAGAGCGTGAATAAACTAATGAGTTTACTAGGAAAAAAAGATAAACTCCGCTTCTATTATTTTTAGGTCTGATTTAAAATATTTGCTTTGTTTTTTTAATTTATGTTCCTTACTAAAATTATTTAATAATCTGTGAACTTTATTGTTTCTTACTAGTTTCTAATTGAATCATACATTTTCGTTATGCATAACAATTTTGTCATGAAGAGCATGGTTATTATTTAAAACTAGCTTTACCCGCCCACACACTGCTGTGGCTGAGTATGACAAAATGGAAAAGAAAATAGAAAGCACATATGAGTGGTATAACATCAAATGACATCTGTTATTTTAAGAAGTTGAGAAACAAAATGTCCGTAACATTAATTAATTAAGGTTCAATTTAAACAAATTCTAATGATTTTTTTTTATGATTCAACCTGAACATTTTAAAATAAAATCATCAGAAACAGTTTGAACTGAATCTATAAAATTAAAATCGACTTTTTCTCCATTTTCTAAAAATGACAGAGATCCGTCTTAGATACGAAGATTTTCATGTTTAATTTTACTAATAATAATTTTTAAATTTAATGAATTGTTAAATGTTCAACTTTGCTTGGTTATTTTATGGTAAATAAAAATGAAAAATGTGCGTTAGTTCAAAATCTTAAATCTCAAAAAGTTCTTCACCAATTGCCTTGAAATTTTGGCTTAATGTTGCATTCAAATACACGCATTGTTTTATATACCTACTATTATAAAATATAAGGTAAAACTATATATATTTATTAAAACAACATTATTTATTGGTTATAAAAGCAACAAATGCCGTTCAAAATATTTTACGATACTCTTTCAATGTTAAAGATTTGCAAATAAAAAACGTGGCAATGTATTGGAATTGAGCTATACTGCTTACCATAGCGTTCATTTCGTGTGCATTACAGCTGCCTTCCACCTCCTTCAAAAGATTTCGCATAACCCTCCTAAGATATTTGATTGCCCGCTTCTTCTTAGCAATTTGATTACATATAGAGTTTTAAAAATTGTAGTGGAAAAATAAACTTTACTCGTAAAAGAAACCTTACAGGAAACAACACAGCCTTATTCAAATGTAATGTTACAGAAAATAATTTATTAAAAAGTAAAATAAACTGAAATTGATGAAAAAAAAAAGGATCAAGAACCATAAATGATAATTATTACTCAAGGGTGATAATGATAATTATTACTAAATACAATTAATAACCCAAAAAAAGGGTAGGGGAAATAAAATAGTTAATGGCAAATAAAATTTTCAATCCATAAAGTGTATTCATAAAATACATATAAATTAAAAGGGTTTCAATGGGAAGACTTTTAGCCAAGTTTTGATAACATCGTCACAGCCGTTTTGGCGTGATGTTCTATAGCGATATTTTGTTTACACATATAAAATTATCACAGGACGGATGAACTATACCAGAAACCTTCGCGGGAGTGTATGCAACAACTTCTCAAAGTTTCATGGCGATCTGTTGAATGGTTTAGTAATGCATAAAGGACAAACATACATTCATTTTTATATGTATAGATAGACAATGCAGTGCATCATGAAAACACCATTTATCTCTTTCATAAGTTTATTATAAATACAGGGCACTCATTACTAAAATGAATCAACCTTAAGCTCTTACTTAAAAAAGGTTTAATCTGGGGACCCATGATAAAAAAGGTGTCAAATTTCATACTAAGGTTTGTCCTTATAAATTGACCATATCCACAGGCCTGATGAGAAAAATACATACATGTCTGCCAGCATATAGCCGTTGGAATACAAAATAGTGGCCAGGTTAAGAGAGATAGAGACACTATATAGGTAGTAAACATATATATATATAGAAGCGTTATATCACTGAAACTATATTTTCTATCTATAATAATGTCACATATGAAATCAAAGCTGATAATTTGCAATAGAAATGGTTATATTAGTTTTTTCGCTATATTCTATAGCTTCCGTGATATCTGTCCTCGTAATTCACTAACTTTGAAAAAAAAAATGTTTTTGCCTCTCATTTTTATCATTATTTGACTCACCAACTCTTTATGTTTTCATTTAAAGAAAAAGTCATACAGAAGAAAGTTATTTAATATTAAATTTTCTTTAAGAATATATATTACTTGACTATCTTATCTTTAACCATTCAAAAACTAGAGCAATTATAACTTAATGATTAAACTCCAGATCTAAACAGAAAAACTTATTTTTCGGTATTACCCAGCTCCTAATCTGTATATAAGACTATACATGTGTATACATCAGCTTATATAATATTCTGTCTTATATACAGATTAAGAGCTCTGTGATAACGAAAATTACGAAAAGTAAGTTTTCCGTTTAGTTGAGAAGTTTAGTCATTAAGTTATAATTGCTCTAGTTTTTAAATGGTTGAAGATAAGATAGTAAAATAATCTATATTCTTAAAGAAAATTTAATATTAAACAACTTTCTTCCTTATGATTAATTTGTAAAATGAAAGATAAGAAGTTAGTGCGTCAAATAATGATAAAAATGCGAAGCGAAAACAATTTTTTTTTTTAAGTTAATGAATTAAGAGAACGGATATCACGGAAACTATATAATATAACAAAAAAACTAATATAACCATTTCTATTGCAAATTTTTTCAGCTTTAATTTCACATATGACATTATTAAAGATAGAAAACATAGTTTCAGTGATATAAGCAAAAAAATAAACTTTTTGAACCGTAAATTCGATTTTTCGACCTGAAATCCATGGGTATAGGAAAACCGACTATTATTTCATGTCTTAAGACTGTAAATAATATAAATTGAAAGGGTTAGTAGCTTTCTATATCGATAAAGCTTTTTTATACATATTCGTTTACTACCAATATAGTGTCTCTATCTATCTTCACCTGGCCGCCATTTTGTATTCCAGCAGCTATATGCTGGCAGAAGTGCATTTTTTTCGTCAGGCCTGTGGATATGGTCAATTTATAAGGACTAACCTTAGTATAAAATATGACACCTTTTTTGCCATGGGCTCCAGGACTAGTGATTTATTTCAATTATAATTAAAAATGTTATTTTAATATCTATGCAATTGTATTCTTAAATTCTTTTTCTAATTTTTAATTACAGCATGTAACATTTCTTGATGGAGCATATAACAATAAATCAATGTAGATTTTTTTTTTTTTTTTGTGACCTAAAGATTTGATGCGAAATTATATTTTGAAAAATCAATGTACATATAATAAAGTATATATACGTATATGTAGTAATTGTTAACAAATAATGTTATATGATACATTATAAATAAAAATTATAAATAGTTACATAAATAGTCAATAGTTGAAATCATAAGGATGAAAAATAATCGGGATATGCAGTCAATGTTTATTAAGTTTGCCGATGTTTCGACCCAATCATGTGGATTGTCATAGAGCTAAAAATTAAAAAATACGAAAATGTATCAGAAAAATGGTAAATTTAAAAGTATGAAAATAAGAAAAGAAAAAAAGACGAGACATAAACATGAGATAATGATAACATAAACATTAGTACAATTAAATAAATAAAAGTACACAAAACATTAATTAATAAAAATTAACAAATATAAATAGTTGCTTAAAAATTAACAATGGTTAAAGGCAAGACAAGAACTAAGTATGTCCGGATATCGAATGGTTTGTGTGGGAGATGAGGAAGGGAGAGGATGTGATAATGGTCATTTAACGGCTATTTAAGAAAAGATATTAAAGAAGTATCAATAAGATAATAAGAATTTAAAAATACATTTGTGAGTAAAGACAAACAAATGGTACATTACAACTAAACTAACTAATATATTATAACTAATACATCACAAATAGATAATAATCAAAGATATTTGTTTGATACATATACAAAGTATGATTTAATGAATTAATCTAAGATCTAAAATGAAAACATAAAAGACTTTAAAAACTAAATATTATAATTTTAGAGTGCAGAAGATATTGGAGTTAGTAGATGAAATTGTCTTTTTATCTACTTTATGGCAGAACTGGGCAAAAAGTATTTTAATTATTATTTTAAAATACTGTATTTTGTGTATTTAAAATAAAAAAAATAAAATAAAAATACAAAATAATTGCCTCTGAAATACCTAGTTGCACTTTAAAACTGTTTCCTATAAAACCAATTATAAATTTTTTATTTTATTTATTTCAATTTAATTTAAAAAGAACGAAAATGGTATTTGTGTATTTACAAAGAGGTATTTGAATTATTTACCTCCTTTAGGTTGTCATTTGCAGGCCCAGTAAATTTATCAATAATAAATATATTTAACAACTTCTTTTCTCTCATTATATTAAGTAATTAGTGAACATAAAATATGAATTTTAATTTATAACAATAATTTTACTGAAAAAAATTATTTTTAATTATTTCTTAGGTTAATTGTAATTTTCATTAACGAAACTTTACTAGAAATTTTTAGTTTTATCACTTACATGATTTTTTTTAATCTCTTGAACATTTAACTGTAATTTTCAACTTCATGGTAGTAAAAAATTAATATATTTTTTCAGATTAATTCAAGCATTTCTTCCTTTTTCTTTAGGGAGAAATTCTTTAAAATCATAAAATAAAAATACATTTGTTTTTTCCAATATATCTATCAATAAAATAATCTTTCATCCTTCCAATAAAAAAAAAATCTGTAATCTTTCATAATTTCTAAATATCTAGCAATTTTATTGTCAAAGATAATTGTATTAAAAATTTAGCACCATCAACCATTAAAAAAATTTCAAGTTCAATTTTCATGAGCGAGTTCTAGTACGGACGATTAGCCTTACTATGTGATTTAAAGGTACCATCTCAATTTGAGAATGTGTTTAAAATACATTTCAATGTATTTATAAAAGAAAATACAGATACAATCAATGAATTTTATATTTTACTTCTTAAAATATAAAAAATGTATTTTAAAATACTTTATTTGAAATACTGCCGAAGTCTGCTTAACAATTTACAGGGCAGTTTTTTCCTAATAAATATTTATTTGGTGAGAAAATGTATTTCATGATCCGGCATGATAGTAAGGACGAAACGGTTATCAAAATCTAAGGATATGGCATGTTCAAATAATTTTGAAGCAAATGGATTCTGGGTAGAAATTGTGTATTTATGTTGTTATATATTTTTAAAGATGATTTTTGGGCTAAGCAATATAACAGAAATTACAATTCGAAGTAAAAACATGTGATGCATTAAACTAGATTAGATTGATGTAGCACTGGTAAAGAGTCTTTTAGGTCACTGTATAGAGTTTTAAATGTGTGATTATTTTTGAAAATTTGGCATATTACGAAAACTGGAAGAAAAGGATTACTTAATTTTATTAGAAACATTAAGGATGTATTAAGTGATGGGATTGGGCAGAATTCGTTAGAAAAGAACGGATTTTAGAGGGACTGTTAATTAAATTTTCAACACAAAAACATTTTTTTAACATATTGTTATGTTTTTTTGTATTACTGTCATGTTTATATTATAGTTATTTGATGGTTATGTTTCATCTTTCCTTATTTTCATACTTTTATATTTACCATTTTTCTGGTATATTTTTAATTTTTTGTCCTGATGATTACCCACATGATTGTGTTGAAACTTCGGCAAACTTAATAAACATTTACTGCTTAACTTGACTATGTTTCAACCCTTAAAATTATAAAATATTATCTTACCAGTTTTAGTATTAACTTGAACAATAAGATACAAATGTATTGTAAGCTATCTCCAACTTTTTCTCAAATTCCTTCTGATTTCTCAATAGCATTCGTAACGACTCCTCATCTAGTTCCAGGAGCATACCAGTTAGTCGACTTGCAAGCTCTGGCTTGTGGTGCATGCAAACAAGGTTATAAATTTCTTCTCCATATTCTTGTCTCTTCTTCGAGTTCTGTAAAAAAAAAATCATGGCCACAAAGATTAAAAAAGTATTTTGAAACAGAAGTTAATCTGCATGTTTACCTACCAATATAAAGTTGTAATTGTTGTCATCTATGATTTAATAATTTAATTAAGTAAGTTATATAAAAAAAGAAAGATTTAGGAAAATTTATGAAATAATAAACACTTGAAGAAGACAAAAATACTTTTGAAATTATTGGTCTTAAATTCATGTTTTTTCTGTGATAAAAAGAAACTAACATTGTAACAGTTAGTAAAAACAATAAACACAACAAGCATTTTTGTACAATTAATATTTTACAAATAAATATTTGCCATTCCTATTCTCAAAAACACTAGTAACCTCCATACCTCAAACACAAAGATTTATTTTAAAAAAATGATACATAGAAATTTCAATATATAGAAAATTAGCACTTTTTTATCCTTCTCATGTACAAATAAAAAATATTTTTCAAGATTAAATAAGAATCAAAGGCAATTTTGTAAGCTATTATATGTATTGTGATATAGCTTTATCAATAGCAGTTAAAATTACTCAGAGAGATTTCAAAAATGTTTTAAGTTAATACAATTTCAGCTCAAAATACTGAAAAAATAACTGTATTATATTTTAAATATTGTTTATTTATCATAGATGTTTCTAATAAAATCATGTTTAAATTGATAATGATAAAAATAAAAATAATAAAAAATTAAATGTAAAAATAAAAAATAATTTAGTTAAATAAAAATAATGGAAATAACCTTATTCTAAGGAATGGAATGTATTCTTATTTCTACTTAAACATGTAGGTAAATTCAATTTAAATAAATAAAAAAAATTGATACGGCTGTGGATGCTTTCCAATATATTTTGGATCTCCTTGTATGTATATTACTTTTGATGCATCAGTACAGTCAAAATACAACAAACATTTGCTTGTATCCAAGCTGATAAACAAACAGAAAATAAATGTATGTATTTCTAGGAGACTTTCCTTTTTCATGTTTGAAAGAGTTCTAAAGTTACCTTTAGTTGTGGAAGGAATCTGATTATAACACCATGCTTCAATATTTATAAGCATCAACTTTAATAACTACCTAGCAATTTTTACTTTCACTTACCTATGTGTTATATATATGATAAAGTATTGTGATCGTAAAATTTTTTAAATCTCTTTCCAACAGAGATAAAAGTTTTAAGGTCCACTAAGTCCAAATAACCAAGTCTCATAAAAATGGTCTGTGTGTTTGTTAACAGTCTAGCTCAAAAGCTAAAAGTCATATGAAAGTGAAAATGCATATTTAAGGTTTGTTTGTGCCTGGAATAGTACAGCATTGATTTAACACATTTTTAGAATTTTCTTGAAAACGGCTCTAACGATTTTTATTAAATTCATTATATCAGTGTGAAGTTGAATAGTTTTTAATTATTGTAGATTTAATTCTCATTGATGTTCTCTAACAGGGCATAAACAGCTAATTTTCAATATTTCTTCCTCTAAAGTACCTTTGATTTTTGGTTCCTCGCTACCGAAGGTAGAAAAGCATTGTATTGTGCGAGAGGTTAAAAAACTTTTGTGCTCAGAATCGAAATATCCACTCGTATTTTACATTTCCAATATCAAGGATCAAATTTGGTTAGGCCTCTGCCTGTCTGTAGTCAAATAGATGTAACGGTCATATCACCTACTACCGTTTATCCGATTTAAATGAAATTTTCATTGATTGTGCGGGTTGGTACCTAGATGGTCCCATATCAATTTTAATAAATTCTAACTAGCACGCGCAAACATATTTTTGTAGATATGCCAATACTTCAGAAACGGCTCATTTGATATGGCTCAAAGTTCAATAATAGGTAGGTATTTATAAAAAAATAATTTAGGGTAAATTTTATTGAATTCTGTCCATTGCTTTCTCTTATATATGCACAAACGTGTTTTCTTTCTTACATTTATATCTCTAAAACTGCAAGTTCAATTTGGCTTAAACTTGGAGGGAATTTCGGGATTGGTCAACGTAAAATTAAATTGGCATAAATTTTATCAAATTCTCCAAAAAAATACGCTTCCAGATCAGGAAATGTGTTATTTGATATGCCTATAGTCTAAAAAAGGCGCATTCGATTTGACCCAAACTTGGAGGAAATTTGGAGAACAGTATAGTTGATTCGCTGATGAACAAAACTTGTGGATTTCAAACCAGTATATGTTGAGGGATTACTGAATTTCTGAAAATGGCTTCTTCCAGAGATTTTATTCTGAAAAGAAAATTTTTAGACCTTTTAATATAGATACTTTTGAGCAAATGAAAATGGTGAGGAAGCTATACGGACCTTACTTGGGAGACGTTTTTTTATTTGAAATTTAAACTTAAACTCAGATATAAAAAATGGTTAAATATAAAATATGAAAGAATTTTATAAATAATAAAGGAGAAATAAGAGATCGTAACGGAGAATAGTTCTAATGGAAGGACTAAAGGAATACGAGCAAAGAAGCGAGGAAGCTCATTTGAAAGAACAAGCATTCATACGTAACATGAGCTAAATATAATATAGACTCTTGACAATATTATATACATACACACATATGGTTTTCATAAATGCTATCACTGGTAGTATTTATTTGATATTTGACTGTATAGATTACAGTGATATAAAAATTAAAATTTATAATGAAATATAAATAAATATAGCTTCTTTATCAGTGGCACTTTTTTAGTACTAAAAAGATTTCATGACACTTAATTATTTATTATAAACAAATAAATAATTGAAATATACAATCGTAAAAGGCTGGTGTCAAACAAAATAAATATAATACATAAGACGGCTATGAAAAACATATGGTAATTAATTGTGGGTTTATGATTGACTGTAATGAATAATTGAAGAGAAGGATGATTGAGGTGTTCAGTCAGAGAACTAAGAAGTAAATAATAATAACTGTAACAAAGCACAGACCAATGAAATAAACTTAATAAAATATAAGGTAACATAAGAAATGAAAATGATAATCTAGAATAAAGTGTAAAACAGAGAAAAGAAATATGAAGTTATATAAGGAAATAATAGCTATCTATAATAATTATATACATATATATGTATATATATATATATATATATATATATATATATATATATATATATATTATATAATAATAATTACCTATCACCCTTTTTATTCAATGTTATTATACCTATTGTTAACTGGTTCTTTTCCCAGCCCTGACAAAGGCCTGAACTTCGGGTCGAAACGTCGGCCAATGTAAAAAATAAATAAAATTATTTATTTTTTATCATTTCAATTTGACTGAACACCCCAACCATCCTTCTCTTCATATCGTAATGAATTGTTTTAAATAATGTTTCGTACCGCCTACAATTTTTACTTTTATTTCCCCTAGTCACATAATACTTATTTCTGCTAAGAGGGTAGTAAGTGAAAGTTGTGTGATACGGGCACAACACCAGATTTCTTTAAGTAGATATGTAGATACATTCCTATCCTAAGGACATGTAAAGTTAAAAGAACAGGTTGTTTCCATTGTCAGTTTTCTTTTTTACACAATTTTTATACTAACACATTAAAGGCGGGAGTCGTAATACTACGATTTATCTCGACTGCTGCTTAATGGCAGGAGTCATAGTACGATTTATCTCGACTAGCATACTTTTGTCAAGATTCCCCACCTTTAATGTGTTAATAGAATGTAAGGAGTTTGTTGGAGTTAAAAATTCAAGATCTTTGACATTAACTATTTGTTAAGCTCAAATAATTACAGTAAATGAAAATTTAAACAAATAAAACTTACACTCGTAAATTCCAGATATTCTTTCTTGGACTTATCAATCGCATTCTGTAACAAAGTACTGTCTTCCAACAGTTTTTTAATTGTTGAAGGATCCAATTCCATAAGCATTCCAGTGATCTTAGAACAAAGGTCTGGTTCAACAGTTTTTACTTTATAGTAAAGAAGTTCTCCTAATTCCTCCTTTTCAGCCGTTCTTCTAAAATTTTAAGATTAAGATATTTTAGTTTATAAATTAAAGGATATAATTTTTGTTTGTGTTTCATAAAGTTGGTCTTAACTTTTTCAGTTCTACTTCTCAAGTGCTCCGCATGGATTAGGTGTGGTTCATAATCACTTTGGTCATGGAATGCCAAAAATACTCAGATTTATTCAAAAGAGTATAAAGGCAACTGATGTCTTGAATTAGTTATAAATAACATATCCGACCTTTGAGTAGTTATATACACAACATCTAAAGTTATACAATGTGAACCAACTTATACATGATGTTTTGGTAACATCAAGTGCCCTTGATAGAGCTGATACATATATTATACAGCTCTGAAAAAAAACAGTAATTGATACAAACCTTTAATTATTATATTATTGAATGCTATTTCACAATATATATTTTTTCTTATTGATAAATTCCAATATTCAGTAGCTTGAAATTTTCAAATGTTCTTTATTAGCTCTGATCCTCACTACATATATTCCTTCCTTTGAAATAAATACCCAAATAAACACAATTTTTTTTTTTTATGTCTGACTACATTCTCACTCATTTCCAGAATACTAAGCAAAATTACTATGAATAAAAAGCAATAAGGAAAGTTATTCATTCAATAAAAATAATAGTGATTACAATAACGAAACAAATTATAAGTTATATTATAAATTATAATAAATAAATAATACAACAACAAGAGTTAAGAAATATAATAATAAATAACTCACAAATTAATAATTAAAAACATTTGTTAAACAGAAAAATCAAATAAATGAGGTGAGCAATCATTTTAGAGAACCTAAGTAAATGACACAAATGTAAAATCGCTCCTGCTTTATGGCAGCTAAACATAGAAAGTGAGCGAAAGCATCATCTGCCTGCCATAGACTTTCATTAACAGATGGATTCATACAATAGTGGGGATTTGGTGGTCAGAACGCATATCAAACAAAAGAACTGTGGAATGATACCAATCTATTTAGAGATAAAGAAGCAAAAATGGAAATGGGTAGGGCACACCCTGAGGAAAAAAGGATGAGACAATAGAAAAACAGCACTATGATGGAACTCTCAGGGAAATAGAAAAAAAGGACGACCACAAGAGATGTGGAGGTCAGCAGAGAGGGAATTGGGCCAGGCTGGCAAAACGTGGAATTAGGCAAGGAGGATTGCTGCTGATAGAGACGAATGGAGGACACTGGTGGATGTCCTGTGCTCCAATAGAAGTCAAATTAATAAAAAATAAAATAAAAAGTAAATGGCAATGAGTGAAAAATTGTCTGAGTTTTCATTTTATATCTCATGAACAGTTGGATAGGTTTTCGCGATTCCAATTTCTAGTAAGTTTCATGGAAGAGATACAAAGGTTTTTAAAAATGAATGATAAGGGAATAGATGGTCATGCAGAAGTCAGTTCACATTGTACTACTGGACATGATTAAGGGTATAAAATTACTTAAATGGCAGTAAAGTTATTTACAACTAACTTAAAGAGATAGGTCACCTCTCTATTTTTTCAGACCAACCGGGTACTTTCTGCATTCCATGAACAAGTGTGACGGAAGTGATCATGAATGACGCCTAATCAGTGCAGAACACTTGTGAATTAATACCACCTTACTAACATTATATTTGTCTCTTCAATTTAATTGTGGAATTACTTTTTAAGTGTTGCTCTACTTTAGAAGATAGGCACAATATCTCATGATTATGCCATAACTGGAATCCGGATTTTAACTGAAAAGGACAAGTTTGAAGTTTACGTAAATAGTGAATGGTGATCTAAGTAAAGGCAGGTTATATCCTTGAACAGATTATCAATACTTGGAATTATATTAATTGTCCTGATTATTTATCTTATGTCCGACCAACAAAGTAGAGCAACACTCGTAAAGTACTACCTTAATCACTATTATTTTGTAATTGTGGGTAAATGGTTGACTGTCGTGAATAATGAAGAGAAGAATAGTTGGGGTGATCAGTCAAATAAGAAGGCAAAAATAAATGATAATATTTATTTTGACTTTTGCTGACATTTTGACCTGAAGTTCAGGACATCAGGGCTGACTGCAAAGAAGTAAATCGAAGCAATGCTTCGAGTTTTACTTACTTTTAAGTTTGCTTCGATTTACTTCTTTGCAGTCAGTCGTGATAATGGCCTGAACTTCACGTCGAAACGTCGGCAAATGTCAAAATAAATATTATCATTTATTTTTGCCTTCTTATTTGACTGATCACCCCAACTATTCTTCTCTTCAGTATTATTTTGGTTGAATTTCTAGCTTGATAGTTATCGTGCTAAATCATCAATTAATGTGCAGTATATAATGTTGGTTTGAAACATGAAAATTGTAATTATTCCTTCATCAGTTGTGAAATATAACCTAAAGATTACAGATAAGTCGGTCCATACTCATATTTATATTTCTTAATATAACGCTTTATATATATATATATATATCATATTATAAAGGTTTTGAAAGTTGTGTATGTCAGCATACTTGAATATAATGAATAGATCTTGGCACAAGTTTTAACCAAATGTGAAACTAATATAGATTTGCTGAACGACTATTTGGTTGGGTTATGATAAACCATTATTTATATTTTAATATTAAAATTTCTTATAAAAGCAGTATTATTAAAGACCAAAGTAAAGTATGCATAACAAATTACGGCAAATCTCTTTTTTTATGGATAATACAGACTGACATTTAAGGATTTTATACTACTTTAATCCTAAGAAAGGCAAACTGCTTTTTCCTGCCTATGCACAGGCCAGAGAGAATACCATTGACTATCAGCAAGCTTGAGTAATCATTTGTTTTCACAACTATAAATGTCACGGCAAAAAGTCTTACATACTACAATACAAAGAATAGAGAGATAAGAAAGAAAGAAATAACAATCAAATACCTAAATCAAATGAGAGTTTACCCAATAAGCACAACTTACGCATGAAATTTATTGACAGTTGCAGTTATAAGTTTGTCCTCTTCAAGTAGACGCAGTATATCTTTGTTCTGTAAATTATTGGATACTTCCAGGAGTATTTTTTTAGCGGCCAATTTCGTCGAACATATTGCAGTTAACTTCGATAATAAATGTTCCAATAATACTTGTCGTGTATCGAATACTGGCAATGCCATTACTCACTATTACGGACATATTTAACTCATTCAAAGAAATTCCTCTACTAACAATAACAAACCAACAGATTAATATAACCCTGACTAAACCTTCATCAGAAGGTTATGTTGGACCATTTGAGAACTTGATAGTTAGTGTATTCCTAACTAAATAATTGAATCAATAAATTGATATATTCATAGTGTGCAAAAATGTCTTATTTTCTTACAGCTAACAACACTAAATCATGAAAGCAGGGATATTTAGTTTTAAAGTAGTAAAAAATTATATTATTTTTCAATGGAGTGGGGAGCGAGTAGAGGGGGAAGATGTTGGAAGCGCCCCCTACAGCCGGCCCGGTCAACTAGCCGGGGTCCACAGATAGTGGAATACAATATTTACAAAATGGCTAAAGATGTGATCGCTCTTAGCAGCTAGTGATGTGAATTATTTGTGTTGTCTTTTATGTGTTAAATTGTTTTTTTTTAATTTCTGGCCATGGCTGAGTTCAACATTGATGTGACCAAGCTTCCAGAGGAGGTGCGGGAGAAATTAGCAGAATTGGACTTGGAATTATCAGAAGGTGAGTCTTATATCCGGATAAGTTTTATCAATTTTAAACTCCTTCTTCCATATTTTTATTATTTTTTAGCCTAAAGTGTATTATCAATGCTCCCGTAGCTTTAGTAATTTTTATTTAACCTCTCATAGACATATATATGACTTAATTTGATTTGTTTTTCATATTTGTGTATAGGAAATACCTCCTTATAATCATTTATATATTACACTACTCCTTCGAGAATTTCAATACATATAGCTCTAGGAAAATACTTGTTAATAGTTTTGTGAAGCCCATCCTACTTACTAGTAAACATTATCTTTCTTGTTCTTTGATGCAGGTTTAAAGCGAATATTCCATATCGAAGAAATTTTCATTTTTGTTTCTGTAATGTTGGACTTAAATTGCATTTCTAAAGAACTATCTTAGCTTATTTAATTCCTCCTGTATTTTGTATGGTTATAGTTCAGCTGTAACATGATAAATTTATTATGCTCATAATTATTCATGATAATACTTAGGTTTATTTAAGTATTATGTTGGGGTTAGGGCCTGTTAAATTAATCATTTGGCATCCTTAAATTGTTAAACTTTTATGTATGTTTGTGTTTAAACATTATGAATTTGATTAAAATACAACTAAAGGTAGTATTAAAATTTGCAGATTTTTGACATAAGTGATTTTAATTCACTTTATTCAAGTCTGATGCCAACTAATTTTCATATGCTTAATTAGTTTGAGATGAAACAATTCCAAAATTTGAGTTTTTAACAAATTCATATGAAGTAGATATTAATTGAGTAAATATGTTGTTTGGTTTATTCCTAATAATTATTTTAATAATCTTAATAGTTATTCAATTTCTTTCTTGTTATAGAATAATTTTATTTTTCTGTGTGGTCTATCATGATTGCATAATAATTATGTGCCTGCTTAAATGTATTTATCCAAGTTATTAGGGTGTGATTAATTCTATTGTATTGTTGATGAAATTTTCATTTGCAATTATTTTGGACCAATTCTGATTTTGTACTTAATTATTGTTTTAATGTGTGAATGATATGCTTTCAGTTTTAACCAGGTATGCAGGTGTGCCAAATTATTGATAGTTGTGTGGCTATTGCAAAAAAAGCTCATTAACTCAGACTTTTTTTATTTTTGAAATAATTGATCCTTATTTAGAATTATTTAATTATTCCAATGGTTAAAAAAAATTAGTCTTAAATCATATTAAATTTTGTAATAATAATAAAAATAATATAAAAACCTTAAGTCTGAAATGAATTATTATAATTTATGAAATTAGTTTTACCAGAAAAGCTATGCTAGGAATTTTTGTACTTGGTTCTTTTTATTTATTTTTTTTTTATTCTTGTTACCTAAATATGTACCTACATACATACTTACATATATTTATTGTAATGGAGGTTATAGGTTTACATATATGTGTTGTTCATAACTGTAATGTTAACCTTACATCTGTTAGACCAGTAATTAATGTAAATGAAAAAATCTTAAAACGCCTAGTAACAAAAAACAGGAAGAGAGACATTTCACTACATGAAGTTGACTAGGAAGTGATCCTTTTTATTCGAGTATTTGAAGTATATTTTCTTATTATAATGCACTTCTTTTCAAGAGATGGTTTTCTGATTTTGATATTCATTTAAAGTTTTTTGTGAAATACAAACACTACACTCGAAAGTGAGTACCTATATACTGGTTGGATAGACGGGATTTTCAATGTATATATTTATTTATTTATTATAATTATATATTAAAATTATTCTATGAGATTAGTGAAAGAATAATAAAATCGGTTATTATAATACTGACACGTCATTTTTGAGTTAAGGGTGGTTTCATTTACACCGATCTTTGACGCGCCTTTCAATGAAAAAAACAAAACAAATATTTATTATATACCTTACGCTATTATTTAAAAACATTTTGAGCAAGTACGTACGTATAATAGAAAAAAAATAATAGAAAAGAGTTGCTTGGAATGAGCAGTCACGAGTAAAAAAGTCAAAATAAATGTATTATATTTATTTTTATTTTTGTCGATGTTTCGGCCAATGGTTTAGTCCTTCATTAGGACTGTTTTTTACGAAGGACAACTCCGAAAGATGGATTTGAATTTTGTTGGTGTCTTGCGTTGGAGCCCTTCTTGAGAACACAGCCCTGATGAAGGCCTGGCCTGACCATTGGATCGAAACGTCGGCAAAAATAAAAATAAATAAATTCCGGTGTCTGCCGTAAGCTTTTTGTATCAAGTCAACTTATTTTTAATCTTTCTATGTTTAATTAAATCAAGGCTATTATTATTGCAGTAGTAATGCTTAACTTTTTAATTATTACCCATATGGTTATAGTTAAAGAAACCAATAAAAAAAAAAAAAAGGGACTGAAATATCGCTACTGTTAGTACATAAGGTCGTATGTAACAATTTTGCATTTTTATTCTATTTGTACTATAGGTGACATTTTGTTGTCAGGCACTGCTCTGCTATAAATGGTCTACTACTATAGAAAGTAGTAGAGAGAAATAAAATATGAAATTATACTAATAAATCACAATAAAAAGAAGTAATCAGTTTTTGTGCTCTCTTGTACAAAAACTCAACATTCACATTCGACCTTTCCCATTGACAGTCGCTATATGATTTACTAAATAACCAATCATAATACATATTTAGGAACAATCCATAAGCCTTCGTCATTTTCTGGAAGGTTTGCCTACTGCAACCACCTGACACTGGAATTCACTAAAATAAAGGTTTTATTTAAATTATCGACTTATTTTGATTGTAATAATTTTAAATCATAATAATATGCAAAGAACTTGAATTTGAACAATAAGTACTTTTAAGGGGGTTGATGTCGCCTCCTCCCCACCCTCGCCCGGAAAAATTGAAGTTAGTGCAGAACATCGATATCTTTAACATTGGGTGTAAAAAATTAATGTTTTTAGGTATTCGGATGGATATTTCGATCATTTCCAAGTTAAGGTTTACTTTATCTTTTAATTATCCAATGCTTGTGATAACAGATTTTTATTACATTTTACATTTTTTTAATATTATCCTGATATTTTAGTGACGGACAGGGAATTTTATTTAAGATAGGGGAATTCAGGGAATTCGACTGTTGTTATAGACACCCTATATTTATTTAGTTCAGCCTTGGAATGGAAGGAATCTGCTATTTTTATAACTGTTAATTTTTTTTTCTATATTTCCAATTAATGGTCCAATCGAACCGATTAAAGTCTTCGAAAACGTTTCTCTCTTTCATATGACTGACTCACATTGTCATCTCATCCGTCATTTACACTTTTTTCACTTATAAATGTAGCAATTGCTGTTTTTCACTTAAATACGTCTATACTACAGGATTTTGGGCTGCTTTACAAGAAGGAAGTGCATCGATGATTACAGGTGCCCCGCGATTCGGTAATGAGTTAATACCTAGTGACCTCTAACGTAGGACTGGCTCTCCTAATATGGCTGTGTGCCATTCGTTTCCTTGTGTCAGCTCGTAGAATTGTAATAGTTAGAGGAACTATTTGTTATTGTTCTTAGATAAGAGATGTTAGTATTTTTCAGTATTATAGATTGTTTGCTATTTAGTACTATTGTTTGAAATTATATTATAATTTTATTAGATATGTGCTTTATGAACTAAGTATTGAATATTTTTTTTCTGTATCACATTTGCTGAATATGTATTAATTGTACAGTCGTAAATTTCATAAATAATAATAATAATAATAAAGTATTGAATGTACCAAATATGTTTAAACATGCGTAACACTGATGAATTTTGTTTGAATACTCCAGTCTTATGATAAAATAGGATTTTGCGTCAAATCTTGAAGCCATGAAAAAGAAAGGAAAAAAAAAAATGAAAACTAGTTAGACTTTAATTTTTTTTAAAACGAATACCGTAAGATGTGATAACTTAGGGATTGGGTGGGTAAAATTTAGTTCGTAGTGATACACAGCGTTGTTCACTACACTCGTTGTGCAGTTAGGTTTTATTTATTTCCATTGAGTTTTCAAAATTCTTGTTTTCATGAAACTTTCGTCTGTGCCGCAAGATAGTAGCGTAGCAGATGCCTTCACAAAGCACGTTTTTGAAGACTGAACCGACGCAGTTTATCCACCACGGAATCACCACAAACTAAATTAACCTGCTGACCAAAGTTACCCCATCTTACTGTATATAATTTTAAAAATAAGAATAAATTCTTAGTATCAAGTAACTTTTTTTTCCTACTATTTCCCCTTCCTCGCCTTTTCGGCTCTACGGTTTTTTCCGGGCCAGGGGAGAGGACGGTGTGTCAATGCCAGAGTCTTCTCATCCCCTAACACGGTTGTCGAACTCTTGATTATTTTAATTATCTTCTGTGTATGTGGTTCTGGGCAACGCTTGTTTTGTTCACGCCTTAGTCAGCTCGGCTGCCCCGCCTTCAAAGTATATGATTCTCTTGTTATGAATTCAAATACAAAGTAAAAATTCTTTAAACTTTTTCTGACTTTCTTATTCTTATTATATTCTAAATTACCCTCTAAAGTTATAATTTAATTCATTTTTGTAGTTAAAAATTGATATAGCATTCAAATTGATATTTTTAACAAAAATACAAAACAAAATCCAAATCTATCCCCATTTTGTTAATGGAGAGGAAAATTAATGTTCTGGTAAGAAACCATTTTTCGACTTTTACATATACATCAGAGGAGGGATAGCCGGGAGTCTTAGCCGCTTGCAATAAGTAATCTGACGTCTCTGCTTCGGTTTATGTGATTTCTAAGGCTAAAATTTAAAGTGAAAAAAATTCTTCTATTTCAAAATTTCATGATGGCTATTATTTATGTTATGAATATTCATTTCATTTTATTTCTATTTTGGAAATTACTGAACTCATTAAAGTCTAGTATGCTTGGACCAGATTCTTGCCAAGCCCTCGGCGTGGATACGAATATCCGAACTAGCGTAGGCTGCTTTAGCAACTCCTCTGAGCCTTGGTGCCCACAGGTACTTCGAGGCTGTAACCTTTGAGTATCCTCCTCCTTAAGGTACTTGAAGTATTTGGTTTGGGCGCAAGGTTATCCGTTAGCTAACTGAACAATAGTATTGTATTAATGAAATCAGAATCATTGTACATAATATACGTAAAAGATAGAACTTAAAAAAAAAATCCAGTTCAGTGTCTCTTAATTCTTTATTATTCATCCTTAGCATTTTTACTTTTAGTTGAAGTATTTACTGGGTGTCGCGTAAGTCATGGGGAATATTTAAAGTGTAAGTCTTAAGTCTTATCAAAAGGTTTAGGTCCTATTCTAGGACTATGTTCCGA